TTCCCTGCCGCCACAAGTGACAGACATGATCCCGGATGCATTCGACACCACTAATATTTTCGGACCGTTGGCAAAGGAAGGCCTCTTCTTGGATGCATTCGGGGCCAACACTGCGGTCAGATTGCTGGCAAACTCAAGCTTCTTCCCGGAAGTGTTGGTCGCCGTGTTGGATGGGGGACTCGGATCAACGGTGTTGGGTCCGTCAGGCGCCGCAGACCGTCGCCAATCCTCGTGTTGACGTGACGGCTCAGCATTAACTTGCGGCGCAGTTGTCCCACCAGATTTTGTGTCATCATTCCCTTCGCGGGGTGGCGGCAACTGACAGATGCCCGTCCGGTCAGCATCGCTGCTCCGTGCAGGCGGATGGATGGTTCCATCGGGATAAAATTGACGCCGCCACAATTCATAAGGGCCGGCGCATTTATGTGTCGTCACATTCATCGTGGAGGCAACGGTGACCCCTTCCTCTTCCTTGCACAGCTGGCAGCACGGTTGCTACATGTGTGCACCGCATGGGCCACATGGCACACAGCACCCAGCTCACCATTCCTGCCATGCATGCGCACATCAAAGCCACTGAAAGTATAATTCTCACACTGAGCATCAGCACCGGCAGCAGAACACTTCTTCCACGCCCGCACACACACACGCGATAGCTCAGGCTGCCGTCACTCGGAGCACACGATACATCCACCGGCACAACCACCACACCCGCAGGAAAATAGACTCGGGGTGCGCGGTCCCTCCTCCCTTCTCCTCACGCCCACGGAAGAAGACAGCCGCCACACGCAACTGCCAGCATGCACCACAAAGGGTGCATTCAAATCCACTGCAATGTGCATCTTGTGTGTGTGTGGTTGTGTGTGCCTGCAGCAACACAAAGCAAAGAAGTGGAAAAGAGGGGAGCAGAGTATGTGGAGGGACGCACAAAAATGTACAGCGGAGACGCATAACGGAAACAACAACAAGAAGACCGCTCAAACTCATGACTGCACTGCAGCCCAAGCAGCGGCAATTCACACAATATTTATTGAAAACAAAAAACGTCCCCCTTAGACTTATGTAAACCCCACCACACAAAATAATTATAAATAAAAAGAAATCGTCCATTGCTGCTCCACACAAATTTAAAACAAGAAAAAAATCGCCTGGCTGCCGTGTGGCCACACCAAACTGTCTGCATGTATTTTGCCCGCAAAGAAAATTAAAAAGATGGTTGCGTGTGCTTCAACCGTCCGACCCTCCGTGTGTCCGCACATCGTTTATATTTCATGGGGTCATCTGCGTGTTGCTGCTCCCCTCAGCCCTCTCACCGGCGCGTGAGTGCGGCCCGCAGAGCACAGTCACTCGTGTGTGGAGGGAAGTGAGAGAAGCACACAGACACGACGGGAGTCGCGTCACTCCATCGGGAGAGTGAGCGCAGCAAAAGAAAAAAAAATCATCGGAGGGGAAAGAAATGCTCACGAGGCCGACACCGAAGGGTGCGCCACCGCATGAAATAAACACGAGAAGCAAAACAAATCCTTAAAGAAAAACACGGCGGCAGGGTGTGGCTGTGTGTGTGGCGCTGCGGGTGTCTGCCCGCCCTGGCCGCAAAGAAAACAAAACAAGAGGGAAGAAATGTGTGCTCCGCCCCACAGGCACTCGTCGCACGCCCACACGTCACGGCTCCCTCAGCGCGCCGTTCGTCGCGGCCCCTCCTCATGCGTGCAGCAGGCGAGGCGCACAGGGCCGTCGTCATGAGCGTGTCGGTGGGTGTGCGAGTGGAGCAGTTGGGCGGGAAACACACGGCACCCCTCGCAGGAAGAGTGCAGAAGAAACAATTAAAGAGGGAAGAGTAGAAAAGAAAAAGAGGTACATAGTGATTGCCCCAAAAACAAAAAAAAAAGAAGGAATGGGGTAGTAAGAAATAAAAACGAAAAAAGATTTAAACCAGAAATTAGCAAACATTAAAATAAATTTAAAATACGCACAAAAAAAGTAAGAGTATCAGAGATATTCGTTCCCGAGGAAGTAATTCTGTGCAGGGAAGGTCGCAAGTGTCCCACGCGGCAGCCAGTCACTCCTCACAGTGCCGCAAACCCCCACAGTCCCAACAGAAGAACAAGCGATGGCAGCAGTCCGCCCTCACTCACAGTGCCGGCATCGCTGTTATTCCCCTGCGACAAACTTCCGAGGTTGCTGTTG